TGGAGAAGTCTATGTGACCCCTTTCTAAATAAACTCTGCTTTATATGCTTGCCTCGGCACGCTTCTCCAATGTTCAAACTTCAACATGGGGGGAAGCAGGACTCATCACCCATAACCGGGGGTAACACTATGGCCTGCAGATCACATTTTTATATGTACAAGATTAAAAATGTGAAGTTCAAGTCTGGGTGTGGTGGTGTATGCCTGTAATCCTAACTACTTGGGAGGCTGAGGGAAGAGGATGGGAAGTTTGAGACCAGCCTCAGCAATTTAGCGAGTCTCTGAGCAATTTAGCAAGTCCCTAAGCAATTTAGCAAGACCCTGTCTCAAAGTAAAATTTTAAAAAGTGATGCATACCTGTGATCCCAGCAACTTGGGAGGAGGAGACAGGAAGATTGCAAATTCAAGGCCAACCTGAGCAACACAGTAAAATTGTCTTAAAATAAAAAAATAAAAAGGGCTGGAGATGTGGCTCAGTGGTTAAGCATTCCTGGGTTCAATCCCCAGAACCAAAGAAAAAAAAATATTTTTTAAGGACTGAGGACAGTCCTTTATAATGTACTCAAAGGTACATTGTCTTTGAGTTTAATCTGGTAATTTAATTTGGTAATTTTTTAAAAATAAAAAATGAAATTCAATAGCATTTGCTTGGCCAGCACTCCACAGTTGACCAGAGTTCGCATCCCTCCCTGTCGCACTCCAGTGCTTCTCACATTTCCCTACCTGGAACCTGTGGGGATTCCTGTTGGCAATCTCTCATTTAGAGATTTCCATCAATCACTGCTCCTGAGGAGTCACCTGTTGTTATGATAACTAAAATAGGATTATGCAATCTCAGCCAACTTCTATAGAAAGATAATGTGGAGAACATGGAAGTCTGTGTTTGGACTAGACTTTGACCCACTGCACCTGGCTTTTTGGCTTTTCCGAGGGACATTTATAAATGCCCAGGGAATGATCCCACGGGGAGACCTCCGAGATGTGTTGGTGAAGGATGGTTGAGAAGCAGCCTGGGGGGTGTGGATCTTGGGTTGGCACTCTTGCCTGTAGCTCTTCTGACCTCCGTTGGTTAAACCACTCTAACTTTGACACTTGGACTGCTGGCACACCCTCATCCCCAGCTTAAAAGTCCCCGAGTCTGAACCCTTCCATCTCCCAGCTTCTCACCGGGACCAGCACCTCTAGCTATGACCATTTATAGACCTAATGACTTTCCAACAACCGTACATGTTCCTCTCCAATGTGTTTCCCAAGCAAGCTTTTTAAAACATGAGCGTAATCCTTTCCCCTGTCTCCTCCACCCGCACCATACTGATCTTCTCTCTGACTTCAAACATGTCTAGTTGGAGGATCTCGAGTTCAAAGCCAGCCTCAGCAACTCAGCAAGACCATGTTTCTTAAAAAAAAAAAAAAAAAATTAAAGGCTGGGGATGGTTACGTGCAGCTGGGTTTAATCCCTGGTACACACACACACACACACACACCTAGTCCACGTCCACCTCTGACCTTTTGTTCACTTTTCGTGGTTTTCCATCTTTGAAATATCCTCTTAGATCTCAGCACAGTTTCTCTCTTTTTCAATATTAAATGTCTCACCTCAAATGTCACATCATATTTATTTTATTTTTATTATTATGCATATTGGTTTTGGGCACCAGGGATTGAACTCAGGTCACTTAACCCCTGAGCCACATCCCCAGCCCTTTTTTGTATTTTATTTAGAGACAGGGTCTCATTGAGCTGCTTAGGGCCTTGCTAAGTTGCTGAGGTTGGCTTTGAACTCTCGGTCCTCCTGCCCTGGCCTCCTGAATAGCTGGAATTAGAAGCACATGCCACTCCACCTTGTGTCTAGTCATTTTCTTCCCCACTGAGTCCTATGGCCCAGAATAAATATATATGAACTCCTTCCTTAAATCCCTGAATGACGTCCCATTACCCTAAAGATCAAGTTCAAGACCTTTAATTTGGCCTGTAGGACTGGAGAGGCTTGGTGCTGCTTCTGACCACCACCCCAGCTTTCCCCTGCAGGTTCAAAGGCCTCTTCTGCCTCGGGTTTTGCTCCTTGCTCTCCTCTGCCTGGAACACGCATCCTTACACAATTGACCTCTTACTGCTCATCTCTCAGACTCCATGACCCAGCAGTTGCCTCTCATCCTTATCACTTTACCCCTTTCATCCTCCTTTTTCTTTCTTCCTAGCATTTGCCACTCGGTTAAAACTCATGCGTTCACATTCTTATTTGTTCTAGGTCTTTCTTGCAGCATTTTAAGTTATCTGAGTTCAGAGATGTTGTGTGTGCTGTTTGTTCACTGCCATGTGCCTGGTGTCTAAGTACTCGGTGCCTGGTGTCTAGGTGCTCAGTGTCTGGTATCTAGGTACTCAGTGCCTGGTGTCTGGGTGCTTGGCACCTGGTGTCTAGGTACTTGGTGCCTGGCAACCACTAGATGTTCAAATATTTGTTGAATTACTAAAAGACCAAATCAAACCCTGGGAGGTGGCAATTATAGTTCCTGCTTTACAAAGAGAAAAATGGAGGTCCAGAGAGGCTTTGTCACCTACCCAAAGACCCACAACTTGTATGGGGAGAAAATCTAGAAATTTTTATTATATTATTGGTACCAGGGATTGAACCCAGGGGCACTTGACCACTGAGCCACATCCTCAGCCCTATTTTGTATTTTATTTAGAGACAGGGTCTCATTGAGTTGCTTAGCACCTTACTTTTGCTGAGGCTGACTTTGAACACACAATCCTCCTGCCTCGGCCTCCCAAGCAGCTCAGATTACAGGTGTGCGCCTTCACGTCCAGTAATAAAGCTAGATTTAAATCCGGGCCCAGCTCAAAATTCATATTTGTTTGTGCCCTAATTCTGTCCACCTTTTTTAGTGCCATTATAAGCTTCTGGGCTCTTTTGTGACCTGCACATGTTGTTACAGAAGGCACAGCTGCAAATATTTCAGCCTATTACACATGCATACATATAGGCTTGTGCACACACAGATGTTCACATGGACACACACATACAAATAAAAAATAGCTCTCTTCCTAACAAAATCAATCATAGTCATCCAGATATTTGACTGATTACAACAGAATTAAGACAGCAGTACCAAAAATTATGTGAAAAATACTGGCATGTATTAGAGAAAAACGCCCTTTCGTGTATTCATTCATTCAAACACCCGAGGATCCTAACAGATTAAGGGGAAAAGACCACATGGGAACACAAGCCCAAAGACAAAATCATCTCAGGTATGTTGTTTTCCAGTGCCTCAAAATGTGGGGCAGAAGATCCTCTACTCCCACTCTCCTGGATACACCCTAAAACCCAGGTTTTACTTCTTGCAAAAACAGAATTTCTATTTTACTTGAATCTCACTATAAAGCTCTAACTTTACTTTTATTACTTTGGAAACTTTAGGGATGATAAAATAAGCACAGACAGGTTAATCGAAGGGACCAAGTTCACACAGCTGGGCTAGAACAAGAACCCAGCTAGAAATCCCAAGCCCCACCTTTTAAATTCCTCAATGTAATATGCTTCATTTTTTACTTTTTTTTTTTTTTTTTTTTTGGTGTTGGGATTAAACCTGGTTTCATACATGGTAAGCATGTACTCTATCACTGGTCTACATCCCCAGCCCCATGATCCTTTTACGATTCTTTCTCCCAGTATAGAAACATATGAGACCCTCACTACTCAAAGTGTGGTCCGTGGGCCTGCATTATCAGCATCCTCAATTCTTAGATCCCATCTCCAACAGGCTGTGCCTGAATCCACATTTTTAACAAGATCCCCGGATAATTATTGGGAACGTGAAAGTTAAAGAAGCATGCTGCAGTTTACTGATAAATACAAGCACAGAAGTCAAAGTTCTTCTTCTTCTGTCTCCCAACATCTTCCTAGAAGTGTCTGCCTTCTTCAACATCCAATTAGGTCAGACTGAACAACTCCAGGGACTGAGTAAGGGAATAAGTCCTAGTGTCTGCTGCCACCTTGTGGTAAAATGTCCACCTAGGAAGACTTTGCTCTTCATAAAATAAATACAGGAATAATGGGGCAGGTAGGCAGGCAGTCAAGTTTTTTAGATAGCTAGCTGGAGGCGCGGTGGTGCACGCCTGTAATCCCAAGGGCTTGGGAGGCTGAGGCAGGAGGATCATGAGTTCAAAGCCAGCCTCAGCAACTTAGTGAGGCCCTAAGCAACTCAGTGAGACCCTGTCTCTAAATAAACTACAAAAAAGGGCTGAGGATGTGGCTCAGTAGTTGAGTGCCCCTGAGTTCAATCCCTGGTACCACCCCCCGCCCCCCGAAAAATGACAAAATTCGAAGATGTAATGAAATAGCCTTTATGGTGTGTCCCAAGATATCCAAAAACAAGTGTCCTATGTGTGTCCCACTGGACAGAGAGGGCTCATGTTGAGAGATCTAACAGGTCCACCTTGGTTAACAGATCCTTGGTATTCTTTTCCCTTTGAAATTCAAGCATGACAAAGGAATATCATTATCAATTAGCACGTGATTTTTTAAAATTGTCAATGCAACTAAAAGTTATTGGCTGGAGCAGTGGTTCATCCCCGTCATCACGGCAGCCAGGGAGGCTGAGGCAGGAGGATCACGAGTTCAAAGCCAGCCTCAACAACTTTGCAAGACTCTGTCTATAAATAAAAATACAAAAATAGGGCTGGGGATGTGTCTCAGTAGTTAAACACCTCTGGGTTCAATCCCTCGCAGAAAAAAAAAGGGGGGGTGTTGGTGATTGGATAATCAGAACACTGCTTCTCCATTTGTCTTGTTCAAGAATCTATGAAGGATACTGAAGGATATGGAAAATACCAACCCTCAGGGAGAAACAAGAACAATGGATCCCAGGGAGAGAAGGGAAACAATGGGTGCTAGACTTCCACAATTTCCCCTCCTGATGTTGTGTCTCTGTTTCTTTCACTTTCTCTGTATTGAGTTTCAGATTCCTCTAAACGACTGGGAATTTCCCACAGTTCTACCAAACGCATCACTGGTGAACCCTCTGCCCTTATAAATAGAGCCAGGCCCAGTAACCCACCATCTCTAACATCTGGGAGGGTATTCCTTATTAGGAAAAGATTCCAAACTGTTCCTCCATACCTTGCTCCAGACACCCCAGAACTTGACGGTTTTGTTTGGAAGTCGTGGGGCTCCAGAGCTGAAGAAATCCAAAACAGCTACCAGCAGCAATGGACACTCTTCAGCTGTATTTACCAGACCTTAAGGTTGCCTATGGAAAACTTGGCCAGTACCAAAGATTCCAGCAACCCAGAAAGAAAGATGGCACATTCAAAAGGAAGGGGATTGAAAGGTAAGTAATGCAGACTAATCGTTTCCATCAAGGGAGAGTTTTGGGATTTTTTCATTAAAAAAAAAAAAACTCACTGTGATTATTAGACATGATACTATCTCTATTTCAACACTGCATTTAGAAATGAAGATTTGGGGCCAGGCGTGGTAGCACACACCTGTAATCCCAATGGCTCAGGAGGCTGAGGTAGAAGGATCGTGAGTTCAAAGCCAGCCTCAGCTACTTAGTGAGGTGCTAAGCAACTCTGGGAGACCCCGTCTCTAAATAAAATACAAAATAGGGATGGGGATGGGGCTCAGTGGTCCAGTGGCCCTGAGTTCAATCCCTGGTACCCACACACAAAAAAAAAAAAAAAAAAAAGAAAAAAAAAATGAAGATTTGATATGGCCTAAGGAGAAGGAGGTACTGCATTAGCTCAGGAAGCTTAGTGCTATAAGGGAAGCCTCATTTCATGATCAGAAAGTTTTAACTGGGAAAGCCTTTACTCTCCACTTGAATTTGATGTTTTTAAGTGTCCTATTCAGAGATGAAAGGAAGTACTGATGCTAAGTTGATATTTTCAGCATCAGAATTAAAGTCTTGTCACATCCCAGCAAATAATAGTATTTTGAAAATTCATTAGTGCATCCTTCAGAATAAATTCACAATCAATGCTTCCCTTTCCTTGTCCCTGCAAATTCGACTAATCCGATTTCACCAGTACACACTCTTTAATGAAACATCAAAACAGTCTTAGACCTGGTATTTCTCAACAATGACAAAACCATGAAGACAGGCATAAAATATTCCAAACATAATACCTTTTAATTTTGAAAATCAGTGTGGTGATTTTATTTTCTAGTTTCTTAGGCTGCTGAGCAGACTCGTGAGCTACAGCTCAGAGATATAAATGTGAGATGTTTTTATGAGCCTTGAACATCAAAGATCCAAGTTCCAAACTTCCATGGACAAAATGAAATATTGCAAAGTGAAAGCTGAGAAGCTCGATCCAGGTTACTGATGACTGGGTGTGGTGATGCCTATCTATAATACCAGCAATTTGGGAGACTGAGGCAGGAAGATCTCAAGTTCAAAGCCAGCCTCAGCAGCTTAGCGAGGCCCTAAGCAACTCAGTGAGACCCTGTCTCTAAATAAAATACAAAAAAAGGGCTGGGGATGGGGCTCAGTGGTTAAGCGCCCCTGGGTTCAGTCCCCAGTACCAAAAAAAAAAAAAAAAATTTAAAGGGAAGAATTCTTTGCACAGCAGAAAGTACAGGGGTTCTATCTCTAGGCCCTGAAGCAAATCATCTTTGTTAATTATAAATCCTCAGGGATGGGAGTGGGAGACACATTTTTAGAGATTCAGAGACTAGTTAGACGAGGCCTTCTTTCCAGAGTCTTCCTGAATCTCCTGAAATTGTATTTCTCTTGTTTTGTGTGAGTGGAGGAGTGTGTATGTTCATATTGATGGCAGTATAAATTTAAATTTTTTTAAAATTACTCAGAGTCTTAGAGGGGCCCGTGGGAGATTAATCCTAGCCATAAATTATCTTTGAGCAAATTAGAAAACGATGCTCCCTCCTAGGAACACTGTATTGTCATCTACCAGAAAATTATTTTAATTCCTCTGCACCACTGTGAGGACTAACACCACTCTGCAGTTGTGTGTGTACAATCTGCAGAGCTCTGTCCACACTCCCAGAAAGAAGCTGCTAGCCCATGAGGTCACCGTCTTTGGGCTCTCTCTTTGCCTTTTACATTCTCACCACACAGATCCCATCTACATGCTAATAAAGGCTGCCATTTATTGAATAATTTATTAGATGTCAAGTACATAAATTCTTTTTCCCTCTACCCTTTCTTTCTTTTTTTTTTTTTTTTTTTTTGGTACTGAGCACCTTCTCACAGAGCTACACCCCATCCCCAGCCCATTTTATTTTTCATTTTGAGATAGGGTCTCACCAAGTTGCTGAGGGCTTGACTCACACTTGCCATCCTCCTGACTCAACCTCCCAAGTAGCCAGGATTACAGGTGTGTGCCACTACTCCCAGAAAATGATTTCCTTTTTTTTTTTTTCTCACATGTCGGAGAATAGTACACCCATTTTCCAAAAGAGAAAACCAAAGTTTACAGAGGTTAAATAACACATAAATAAAAGGGCACACAATTAGGAATTGTGTTCCTAGTGAGACCAAGATCATTGAAACTCCTTTGCGTGCACTCTCTGAACTGCTTCCCATGGATGAGGATGTCCGTCAGATGCTGAAAGATCTAGGCTCAGTTTAGAACAGTGCTTTGCTGAAGCATAGGACATATACTACTGATGGTACCTGAGATATGTAGGTAGTACATGGAGAACATTTTTAATGGCTACTAATTTATTTAACCCATATCAGAAATATATTATATTACATATCATATATGTAACAAAATATAATATATCATAATAATAGTATAACATATTGTACTACAGTTATGATAATCATAATATAGCGTGATTGGGATTTTACCTGAGAAATGAACATTTATGCTCACTCAAAAGCCTATACGCAGACATTTATAGCAGCTTTATTCATAATAGCCACAAACGATGTAAATGTTCTTCACTGAGTGATGGTTAAATAAACTGTGATACATCTCAATTTCTCAGGGTATAGCTGAATGGTAGCGCACTCTCCTGGCATTCAAGAAGCCCTGGGTTTCATCCCCAGAACAGGAAAAAAAAAAAAAAAAAGCAGGTTATATTCATATGATCCTGTTTGTATAACATTCTTAAAAGGATAAAAATTATGCAAAAATCACATCTTACTGGTTGCCAGGGTGAAGGAGAAGTTGGGGGCAATGGTTAGTGGGTGTGGCTGTGAGAGGAGGGATTCTAGCTCCCATGAAACCTTCTGTGTCTTGATGGCATTAACGTCAGCATTCCAATCATGATCATGTAGCACAGTTTTGTAAGATGTTACTGTTTGGGAAAATTGAGTGAAGAGTACGCAGGATTTTCCAGTAGGGTCTCTCTGAGTTGCTTAGGACCTTGCTAAGTTGCTGAGGCTGGCTTTGAACTCGTGATCCTCCTGCCTCAGCCTCCTGAGCCACTGGGATGACAGGTGTGCACCACTGTGCCTGGCCAGTATTATTTCTTACAACTGTATGTGAATCTACAGTTGACTCAAAATAAAAAGGTTAATTAAAACAAAAACCTCAGATTTCAATAATAGTATTGTTTTGGATGAAGCTGACCAAAACCAGTTAATTGAAAAAAATAATAGGCAAATAATTGTATCAGGGTCTGGCTGATACTGACTCTTGCATAGAGGTTAACAGTATGGTCCTGAGGATCATCCCAGTGTAAATTACGTAATATTCCCAAGCTTTAATTTTCTTCTTGTGTAAAATGGAGATGTTGATGTAAGAATGACATTATGCAATACCATACAAGGGCTTAAAAGATGAGTTAGAGAACTCTCAGGAAGAGTTGTCTATGTTTATTACTAAAATTTGCCCAAATCATGAAGATAGTACAGAAGTATTTGGAATTTTGGAAACATGAGTTGAAAGCATTTTACCTAAATGAGTGTTCTAGTGTAACTGCAGTGTGGAAAGGGTCTTAGAGATCATGTTCTTTATTGACTCTGCTAGTAAACTCTCATCTTTCATCATATTAGCCTCTAAATCCAGCAAAATCTATGTCATAGCACCATTGAAATAGGATTTCAATTTGTGAATATGAGCTAATAGATTCTCATAGTCAAAGTCCTGGCTTAATGTCTGCATTCTACCCTTGGTCAGTGAATTCAGCCTCTTTATGCCTCAGCTTACTCATAAATAAAATGAAGATAGTAATATAATGTATGCCAAGTATGATGGTGCATGCCTGTGATCACAGCAGTTTAGGAGGCTGAGGAAGGAGGATGGCAAGTTGAAGGCCAGCCTTACTACTTATCGAGGTACTAAGCTACTCAGCAAGATCCTGTGTCTAAATAAAATATAAAAAGGGCTGTGGGGCTGGGGTTGTGGCTCAGTGGTAGAGCACTCACCTAGATATGCAAGGGAGGCCCTAGGTTCATCCTCAGCACCACATAAAAATAAATAAATAAAAACAAAGATATTGTGTACAACTAAAAGAAACAAATATTAAAAAAGGGGAGGCTGGGGATGTGATTAAGCTCCTCTGGGTTCAATCACTGGCATATTTAAAAATATAACATATATTTGTATATTTCTATTTATTTTTAGATATATATTTTATATATAATATACATATTTATATATATGAATATATATATGTGTGCATATATACACATTTTTTTTTCTTTTGTGCCAGGGATTGAACCCAGCACCACACTTCCTATGGTGCTATGAGGATCAGGTGAAATAGCAGCTGAATTGTACTCACTATCATTTGTTGATGAAGCATCAAATTGTTGCTTTGGCCTTTTTATTATCATTATTATTATTTCCTGTAATCTGATTCTTTTCCTTCAGTTTCATTTTTTGGAATTGTATCATTTGTTCACATTTGAAGTTTTGCTTTTAATGAACTTCAATTATTCATTTTAAACTTCTCAGTGTCCTCCATGCGAGCTATTTTGATTCTCTTTAGATGGCACAGAGCTGCGTCTACCCATTTCGTAAAACAAAATTTGTTGTTCCCCAGAGAGAAATCCTTCAGTGAAAGTGACCCGGGATCTCGTGCAAGCCAGCAAAATCAGAAACCAAAATGGATGAAGAGAATCAAGACCGCGTTTAGGAGGACGCTGTCCCACAAGGGCAGAGGCCAGCCAGCCAGTATCAGCAGAGAGGGCTCCACTCTCCATGGGAAAGCCCTGGGTCCCCACGCACAAGGCCTTCTTCCTAGGATTGTCAGGGAGCTTACTTCTCCCAAGTTGTTTACCAAACCAAGAGTGGAAGAGCGCACACAGAATGGTAATGACCATGGCCACTGATCCACACGTGCCCGACCCAAGACAGACAGGGGAACAAGATGGAGCCTTTTGCTACCTGCAATACTTTGGATCCTGTTTTAATCAGCCTTTTCGTTGCTGTGACCAGAAGACCCGACAAGAACAATTACAGAAAGAAAAGTTTGTTTGTGTGCTAACGGTTTCAGAGATCTAAGTCCAGAGATGGCCGGGCTCCATTCCTCAGGGCCTCAGGAGACAGAGCATGGTGGCAGAAGTGTGTGGCAGAGGCAAGTAGCTGGGAACATGGCACCAGGAAGCAGAGAGACAGAGCTCTGCCTGACTAGGACAAAATATCAACCCCAAGGCACACCCCCAGAGCCCACCTTCTCCAGCCACACCCCACCTGCCTCCAGTCACCGCTCAGTTAATCCCACTGGCGGGGGCGATGATCAGTTCACCCATTAGATTAAGGCCCTCAGAAGCCAGACATCTCACCTTTAAACTTTGTCTCACACATGAGCTTTTGGGGGACACCTCACATCCAAGCCATAACAGATGTTGAATGTCCCCAAAGACATATTTACAGGCTTGTTTCCACAAGTTCATGCTATTGGGAGGTGGGGCCTACTAGGAGGTCCTTGGTCACTGGGGTTGTACCCTGAAAGGGGATTTTGGGACCTCTGTCCCTTTCTCTTTCTCGTTTGCTTCCTGGTTTTGTTCCACCATGTGCTTCCCCCCATTGCCATCCAGCATCCCTACCAAAGGCCTAAAAGCCATGAGTCTATGTGATCATGGACTAAAATCTCTAAAACCGTGAGCCAAAACAAACCTTTTCTCTTCACAAAGTCAATGATCTCAGGTATTCCATTACAGTGATAGAAAGTAGAACACTGACTAACACACCATCCAAAGTAAGGCAACTCCCAGGGGCTAGTTTAAAATGTAGAATCTCAGGTTCCTCCCAGGTCTATTGAGTCAGAAGCTGCATTTCCAGTAAGATCCCCAGTTGACTCGTGTACGTTTGGAGAAGCACTGAATTAGGTTGACTTTATGGTTCTTTCAAGTCCTACTAGTTACTGGTCTAGTCAGTGTAAAGTAACTCACTATTTAAATAGATATGCACAAAGATGCATACATGTGTATGTGTACATACATATATACTAGAAAATCAAACTAAAGTGGACCCATGCACTGTATTGTGTGCCTGTCATTCCAGTAGCTTGGGAGGATGAGGCAGGAGAATCATGAGTTCAAAGCCAGCCTCAGCAACTTAGCTGAGGCCCTAAGAAACTCAGTGAGACCCTGTCTCTAAATAAAATATAAAAAAAGGGCTGGGGATGGGGCTCAGTGGTTAAGCACCCCTGGGTTCAATCTTTGTTATTAAAGCAGCAACAACAAAAAACTAAATGGGATTTTATTTCTGGAGAAAACAGTGATACAGCCTTTCAAATGTTGACTTCCAACAGTGGAGGGCATAGGGAGAATAAATGAATAAAATTTGTGATTGGTGGGTCAGAAAGGAGGTTTGATTTTTTTTTTTTTTTGCATCTACTTTTTATGTACTGTGTGGAAGGATCAATATTTGAACTGTTAACTTCCAAATCTTTATTTTTTCTTTTGCAGTACAGTAATGCTGTTGTTTGGAGTTCTATAAAATTACGACTAATAGAATCACCAGTGTTTGCATTCTCCTTTGTAGCTTTTTTTTTTTTTAAATCAATAGTCTTTGTATTTTAGAGCATTTTTAGGTTGACAGAAAAATTGAGCAGAAAATGCAGAGAGTTCCTATATAATCTTCTTTCTCTTCCCTACTTCTAGATTTTCCCCTATTATTAACATCTTGCCTTGATATGATAGATTTGCCATATCGATGAACCAATATTGATACATTATTATCAATCAAAGTTCACAACTTTCATTAGGGTTCATTCTTTATGTTGTATAGCTTTGTGGGATTTGATAAATATATAATGTCATTTGGGTCATGTATCCATGATTACAGTCTCCTATTCAATAATTTCATTGCCCAAAATATCTTCTGTGTTTTTAACCCTTTTGGCATAGTAGCAGGGAACATATGCAGCCCGGTAACCTCACATTTCATAAGTGATTGGCCGGCAGACCTGGATTTTCCAGGGATGGGGGGGACCCAAAGAAACAAACAAAAAATTGATGGCTTCCAGCTGACTGATTGCCCTTTCAAACAAACTCTGTCTTCTGGAAAAAATAGTTGCTAATATAAGCATCCAAGCATCTAGCAATTACCTGGCAGGGGTTGACCTGTATATTTCTGTCGAAAATAACAAAGAGGATGTACTTCTATATACCGGTGGGACCAGAGCTGGAGAGTCTAGATTTCTCCAGAAAACATGCCCATCCTTTAGGATGCAGCTCAAACATTATTACCTTGTGTTTGCTATGGCCCAAAGATAGCTTTCTATTGAACTCCAGAATTTTTTTGGGGGGTGGGTACCAGAGATTGAACCCAGGGGGGCTTAACCACTGAGCCACATCTTCAGCGCTTTTAAAAATTGTTTTTTATTTTGAGACAGGTTTTGCTAAGTTGCTTAGGACGTCGCTAAATTGCTAAGGCTGGCTTTGAGCTTGTAATCCTCCTGTCTCAGCCTCCTGAGCAGCTGGGATTCCAGGGGCGCACCACTGCACCCAGCCAGAACATATTTTTTACCTACTTAATAAAATGTCTGCAAAAGTGCTTATTATTATGCCGATCGCAGAATTAGGGATCAATTAGCGAACAGAACAGACGTGGCCCCTGCCCTCATGGAGTTATAACATAGAGGGACTTAAACATTATGCATATAATCGTATTTGAGGCAAAGTGGAAGCCCAGGGTGCTATGGAAATGGATGCTCTCATTTTAGGGGGGCTTTCAGAAAAGTCTCCCTGAAGAAAGAAAGGATGATAAAACTGAGATCTGAAAGATGACTAAAGTTAGATAAGGAAAGAGTGGGATAACAGTTTTCCAAAAAGAAAGGAGAGCATGTTCAAGCCTTAATACCAAGAGAGGATCAAACATAACCACAAAATGCAAACAACAAGCCAGCGGCAGGTGGAGGGCATTGGAACAGAGAGAACCCGGAGGGTCTGGTTGGAGGAGGTGGTGAGGATGTGGTAGACCACATTAAAAATTTCTAACTTTCTCCCAACAGCGATCAGAAACCATTGAATCTAGCTGGGGATTTATTAACCTGATTTATATTTTTAAAAGATAGCTGTGGCTGCAGAGTAGAGACTGTACGAGGTGAGGGCAAGACCAGTACAGTAAGAATAGTGGACCCTAATTCAAGCATTCGGGACATTTGGTGGACGTGGAGAACAGGGAAGATGGAAGAGTTTCCTGCTGGAGGTAGAAGCAACATTTGCCAAGATTAGAAGCAATGGGTTGGATTGGAGTCATCAGTTCTAGTTAGAGTTTCTTTCTTTTTTGCACGGAGGTGAGTACTGGGGATTGAACCCAGGGGCACTTGACCACTGAGCCCCATCCCCAGCCCTATTTTGTATTTATTTAGAGACAGGGTCTCACTGAGTTGCTTAGGGCCTCAATTATGCTGAGGCTGGCTTTGAACTCACGATCCTCCTGCCTCAGCCTCCTGAGCCGCTGGGATTAAAGGTATGTGCCACTGCACCTGGCCTGGTCAGAGTTTCTGAGTTGAGGTCCTTGCAGAATAAGTAGGTGGTGGTGTCAAGTAGTTAATGTATCTTTATTGAAATCTGATGCTTCCAGAAAAGTCCTTATCAAGGGACCTTAAGCAGGACAAGATGACTTTGGGTGCTGCACCCAGTGTGAAGTGACTCTGAAACACAGCAAATTGCAAATCCCTTGTTCCCAGTACCATTACTCCTTCTAGCATAATCAAGGAAAAATGTCATTTCTTACCTCCCCCACCACTTTTTTAATAAAGGAAGAGTAACCTCAAGTTCAGGGCCTTCTGCAGAAAATGACATGATTTTGTTTTTTACCACATAAATTTTAATGCCTATTTGTGATACTGGTTTTCAATTTATGGTAGCATTTTAAAGTTGCCTTTATATGAAAGAAAACATTTGACCCTTGACTTGCTGAGTCTGGTAAATTATATCCCACACTTATATGATTATGTCAAAATGAACCTCAAATATTATGTTTAATAAGAAGACACTAATAAAAACATAAAAAAGAAAAAATAAAGTTGCCTTTATAAACACACTTATTGAGTTAGGCTGAATTGTTATAAAGAAAATATTATGAAATTCAGGGTTCACATGGCTCCCGGATGTGGGGAAAAAAACATTCAAATGGTATGTGAGTGACTAAGTTCTGGCCACATTTCTAGAAAACACATTCAAATTCTGCTGTAATCAACAATAAATACTCAAACTACTTGAAGATTACTATTATAATAATTCAATGAACACAGAGAGATCTTAGTGACTCAAAGTGTGGTAGATACTTAGCAGGTACTGGTTTTTTTTTCAGAAGATAGAAGGGTCTTACTTTAGATGGATCAGAGAAGGTTCTGCAAGAGGTTGCTTCTTCTAATTCTGCAATGTTAAAGTGCAAGCATTGCAGTGTGAAGCTAAGCCTCTGAGAGAGACCGGTATCCACTTTGTCAGGATTGGGATGATGCCTGCAAGGTTCATGATCACATAAGGCAAATGTGTGCAGTAGAGGAAAACCAAATCCATTTTTGGCTTTTAATCCCAAAGGAAAAAAGCTACTGAGGCAGCAGTGTATATTGCTCTGTTTCCGGAATCATTTCAAATAGGAAGAATAGGTTTATCCCTGTGCTCTTCAATGGGTCTTTTTTCTTCTTTTTCCAAGCAACTATACAACTTGATGTTGTAGAAGCCGAGACAGAGGAGATAACCCAAGGAAATACGCTCCTTCGGGCCAAGAGAACCACCAAGCGCTTATCTGTGACATCTCTTCCTTCGGGGATGCAAAAGGTAAAATGCTTAAAAAAAAAAAAAAAAAAAAAAAACCCACAAAAAACTTGCCTCTAAAGACCTGCAAATAAGAACATTAATGGATTAAAAAAAAAAAAAAAAAAAAGGAGTTCTCTCCTACCATAGTCCCCTATAGTAAATCCTTTAAATCTGCTGTTTGTGTCTTTTCTCCAAGAATTTAGGGCTCAGAGAGAGGGGCGTCTCTCTGATTCCTCTACTTCTAAGCTCAAACTCTTCAGCTCCTACTATAGTCTGGGCAACAGGGGAGTTTGGAACTTCATGCTGACTTGCTCAACTGTTCAATGTCAAGTTAGTATGTTAGTCATTTGGCCTCTCCCTTTGTGCTGTGTGGAGAGGAATTCACAAGACCAGTGCTGTCCATCCAATCAACATTCTGAGACAACACAGCTTTCATTGTCCAGTCAAGTAGCCATTCGCTACGTGAGGCTTTTGAGACTTTGAAATGTGGCCAGGGCCACTGAGGAACTGAGTTTTTCATTTCATTTCAATTGATATTCAATTGAATTAATTGAAATGGCCACATGTACAGCATAAACAGTGCAATGCTAGATGGTATGTATAAACTTTAGTTACCCAATTATTTTTTTAAATGTCATAATTTAATTTTAAAAACTGGATTTTTATTTTCCTTCCTTTCTTTCTTTAAACAGGTGGGTCTTATTATGTCGCCCTCACCGATGATTATATCCCCCCCACCACTTTGGTACCAGGAATTGAACTCAGGGGGGCTTAACCATTGAGCTACATCTCCATCCCTTTTTAAAATACAGTTTATTTAGAGACAGGATTATGTTAAGGTGCTTAGGACCTTGCTAACTTGCTGAGGCTGGCTTTCAACTTGTGATACTCCTGCTTCAGCCTCCCAAGCCCCTGGATTACAGGAGTGCACTGCTGCAATAAGGTCCCCCGAGCTGGTCTTAAACTCCTGAGGTCAAGCCATTCTTCTCCCTTAGCCTCCTGAGTACCTGAGTAGCTGAGACTCCAGTTCATGAGCCATTTTTTTTTTCTTTTTCTTTTTGGTAACTGGAATTGAACTTAGGAGTTCTACCACCAAGCTACATTTTCAGACCTTTGTTTTTTTTTTTTTTTTTTTGACAGGATCTCCTTAAATTGCTAAGGCTGGTCTTGAACTTGTGATCCTGCCGCAGCCTCCCAAGTTCCTGGGATTACAGGCATACACCATCACACCCAGCAGCCCAGACTATTTTTTAAAAATAGAAACCTGAACTATTATTATTTTATGTATATTAAGCACTTACTCAGCTTGCTACTATGGGCGCAGTGTCACATGCCTGTGATCCCAGCTATGTAAGAGATTGGCAGGAGGAACACAAGTTCAAAGCCAGACTTAGCAACTTAGTGAGACCCTATTTCAAAGCAAAAATTTAAAAGGAAGGTGGGGAGAGACTGAGGAGTAGCTTAGTGGCAGAGAGCCTCTGGGTTCAATCCCCAGTACTTCAAAAACAAAACAAAACAAAAAAGCAAAAATCCTGACATTATGTTCCAAGCCCTGTTCTAAGTGCTTTAAAAATATCAGCTCCAATAATTATTACAACATCCCTATAAGATAGGTAGCAAAACTGTCCTTATTTTAGGGATGATTCTCAGAGGTTAAGTAATTTGCCCAGTTGAGTAGAAAGCCAAGTTTCCAAGGAAAGATAAAAATGGATAAATCTAGCTTTAATTAAATAAGAATTTCATGCCTCAAAACACAGCAAACCTAGCTCTAGAGTCCCCCCACCACTTTTTTTTTTTTAAGAGTACTCAGGGTTGCAAGCATAAGCACATACTCTACCAATGAGCCCCTCAGTCACATTTATTACGCTATGTATTAATTGTACTAATTTCTTGGTTTAATATGGTAGCCACATGTGACTATTTACATTAATTGAAATTAGATGAAATTAAAAATCCAGTTCCTCAGTTGCACTAGCTCCATTTCAAGTGGTTTATAACCACAGGTAGGTAGTAGCATTTGTATTGGGAATAGCACTGATAGAGTATGCCCAGATTCAAAGCAAGTTTTATCAAACAGCACTCTGGAACATTGCTGTCAGAGTGAATCCATATTAGCTTTGAATTTGGCCGCTTGCATGCAAAATTCATATCTATTGTGCTCCTACTATGTTCTGGGCAATTTCTAATTTTGGGGGCTAATGGAGACAATGGTCTTAGTTTTGTGGAACTCACAGGCTAATAGAGGAGAAATACTGTGTGCCACAGTATTGCAGAGCAGTGGGGTTATGGAAAAGGTTTTGAATAGATGGCCCTTGGACAAGTGGCCATCCATATGGGAAAAGAATAACACTGGATCCTTACTTAACAGCACATACAAAAATTAATTATTGTTGGTTTAAAGTGGGAAAGGCAAATCTTAAAACTTCTGGAGGATAATATAAGTATCTTCATTATTTCAGGACAAGGACTTCCTAGTACACAACAGCGTTGACCTTAAAGATAAAAATGGATAAATTTGGCTCTAATTAAAATAAGAATTTCATGTCTTGAAACACATTAAAGCAGAGATTAGCAACTGGTTATAAAAATTTTTGTTTTCCCCCCACAATGTTCTCAAAATTTATATTTGAATCATCCATGCTTGAAAATCAGACTATTTCAAATAAAAATCTAGATTTTTTTCAACTTTCTTTTGAAACATAGGGAGATTTGGAAACACAAAGCAATTCCTCAGAGTAACCAGTAGGGGCAGCAAAGAGGCATCCACCTGCAGGCAACCTGTGTCAGGGCACACAGACCCATGGATCCTGGTTTACAAATCCTGCCTAGGTACTGGATTTAGTAAGAGTTGCAGTCAATGAACACATAGAAATAACTTGGCAACTACTGAGTGGGGGTAGATGCTCAGTAGGAAAAAGGACAAGATTTTCTGGAAGAGAAAACAGAAGGGTCTTGCTTTGGTTGGTGATCAGGGAAGGTCTTGCAAGTGGCATTTGAGCCAGGGCAAGCTGGCAGGGCAGCCGTGGTTCAGCAGATTGTAAGCTCCTCGTCAGGCAAAGGCTAGGACCCTGACATAATCCCACATCCTACTCTGTATAGATTTCACAATAATCCTTGTGCTAATTATTAAATTCAAAAGGAGGCAGTGAACTCAGTAAGTCTAAAAAAGGCATATCAGCCAGAAGCCATGACCTAGGAATAGTTTCCAACAGCAACACTCTCAGGACAGGTTACTTGTAGCCACCAAGCTAAGGACAGTGGGAAAAGTGTCAGGCATGGGGTAAAAAAGCACCCTGAGCTTTCTTTTTGTTTGGAGTCATGACTGCCCTGAAAATAAGGAAACCTGCAGAAACGAGATCAAATTAACAACTGGATCCAGTGCTAATGAGCTTTCTGGGGCACTGGTCCACAACAGCCCCACACTCTCACTGTGCTCAGCAGCTGCAGAGGCAATTTCTTCTTCTTTTCCTTACGAATGACCTGCTTTTTTTCCCTGACGCTGTATATTCTTTCGAAGGCAGACAATCTAATTTCTCTGCACCCTATAGATCTCTTCAAAGGGAGCTCTGGGCACAAAGGAGATACATGGGGCATGGAGAATAATAAGAATATGGTCTCCAATCCAATGCTGTTATGTGGCCAATGTTCACTTTATGAAACAGTGTCCAAAGGGTGAGAATTCCTATTTAAGCATCATCATAGAAATAGCATTGGTATTTTCTGATCTGATCTGTTTTTGCATTTTTCTAATAGGTACCATATTCACCAAAGAAAAGACTACACTTTCCAACTCTTAAAAAAAAGAAACGTGGAATTCTCCAAAAATCAGGTCTGACAATAGGAGAGCTTCAGATGCAGGTAGTGGACAAAGGCTTTTACTTTCTGTGTGTGAAGCATCAGAGGACCCAACCTAACTAAACACATAGCCCTCCCAGACAGCTTGGATATAATTAACAATTAGCAATAAGAAATAATGTTAACAGGGCAGGGGGCATTCTGAGAGTGGCCAAAGGATTGCTAAGGGCACCTCGATGGTGCTCTGTGCCCCATAAATATTAAGTGAATTCCATTAAAATGAAGGCATACATGTAGACTTCTTAGAAGAAAAGAGATCACCTTTACCACCAGGGGGTAAATGTTGTTTTAAAGCTCTGTTTGCTATGTCTTGAATTAGAATAATACTTTGGGGCTTGAAAACATCAGACATCTATCTCTTTGGTTTTGACAAGTGTTTCCAACACGTGGTTTCATCTGTCACAGGTGGATGACCTCAAAGAAACATTGTCGGATAAATCCATGAAACTGTTGGCCCAAAGACTTGCTGAGCTACAACAGTGTGAGCTTCTAGGAGATGAAATACTTCAGTCTTCTAAGCAGTTCCAGAAGATATCCAAGAGAACCGTGTGGAAGTATAAACTGAAAAATATGTGTTGCCCATGTACCTGCTGCTTCTGATTTTGTTTCTGACTAGATAAGAGCTAACTAACTAGAACAAATTAAAAAAAAAAAAAAGCTAAAAAAATAAAAATAAATAAATATAAAAGAGCTAACTATGTAGGAACTTTTATTTTTTGGTACATAATCCTGAATAAATCTCTCTAATGAATTAAAAGATAAGGGTGAATTTTAAAGAACATTCTCCAAGAATTTTTTTTAAAAGGATCGCTTTTGAAAAATTGATTTTTATGTCTGAGTCCATAGGCACAAATTTTTGCTTAATGATTCTCACTAATAATGAGAAAAAGAAACTTTTGTCAGGGTATAGCAACGCTGCAAAGAAATTTCTCCTGAAACATGCCAGATGAAATCAGAGGAAGCATTTAAAGGTATTATGACACTCTTAATATGACTACTACTGAGCTAATTTTAAACTTTTCATTTTTAAATATAAAAAGTCTTATTAAAATTATAAAAATGTAACATAATGAAGGTATGATTCATGGAAAATGTCATGTCTTTGAACTAAAATAAATGGATGAGAATGGAACCTAACAAGAACTGCATGTGTAATACTTAAGAAAATTACAAACGATCCAGACTTAGTTCAATTTTTATAATTAAAAAATCCTTTATGCAAGATCATCTTAAACTATTTACTTCAAATAACTTTTCATTTTATAAATATATTTTTTTATTGAAAATGACTTCTAAAGGTCAAAACAGTAGAGAAAAAACTTAAAACATTTAACAACTACATTCTTTAAGTACTACAGAGAGAGGGAGACTGAAAGAGTAAGTAATGCCTATGGATTTACTTTTGGATCTTGTAATTACCTCTGACACCAGTGATTCTTAACATCACAGTACCTCTTCCCACAGTAAACATACACCATAAACACTGTGCATGTAATTTCACAGGTTCATGGTTCTTCTGAGGCCTATTCATGGATTTCATTTTCATTTTCTAAAGTGGTAATAATTTCCAGAAATTGACTCATCGTCCCATATACACCCTAGAAATGCCACCTTCTCAGTCTTCACTTATTTTATAAGGCAGTCAATGTCACCAGTTACTAATGGGCACAAACATGTAACTTAAAGATATTTTATTAAACATTTTTGGATGTTGTTTCCTACTTTTTAAGAATGAAAAATGCATTTCAATAAAAACATATATACTGAAGCCATTTTTCTTTGTATGAAGAAATATAAATGAGATGTGCATTAATATTTAATAGCAAAGTACTTCACTGGCTAAACTTCAAATATGTCAAGAGCACAACAAATTCTAAACATACTAAGATTATGTAGCTCTTTCAATATTTTGGGGGAACAGTGATTCAATTGCCTAGGGCTTAGGATCTGCTTCCATGCTTGTTTCTTGAGCTTCTTCTACCTCTGAGAGCTTTTCATCATCTGTAATTGAAAAAGAAACACAAAACCTTAGTCAAATTTGCCAACATTTTATGCTTAATGCACATGTGAAATATTTTTATCTTTTATTAGCCAATACTTTTAAAGAAAAGATGGCAAAATGGCAGTCTGTGACTGCAACTGTCTCACATAAATGTTTGATTTTAAAAATGCTGTTTGGTGGTTGTTATTAGTTGAATCAAAATTTAAAATTTGTATGACAGATTTCACTTAAAAAAATAAACATAGGCCTTGGGACAATCAGATCAAGTGAACAGAAATTTCCAATTGGCTATAATCAATAGCAAGTCTTCTCTTCCTTATAAATGACTTAAAATTCATTACATGTCTTTCATTTTTTTTCACTCATTAGAGTTTTAAAAGTATATATCTAAGGGAAAGATATATTTTCCCTCAAAGTACCTACCATTCATTAGGTATACAAAAGGTTTTTTATTTTTTGGTTCTGGGGATTGAACTCAGGAGTGGGTTTTGAGCCATATCCCCAACCCTACTTCGTATTTTATTTACAGACAGGGTTTCACTGAGTTGCTTAGGACCTCAGTAAGTTGGCTTTGAGTTTGCGATCCTCCTGCCTCAGCCTCCCAAGCTGGTGGACTATAGGTGAGTGCCACCAAACCTGGCCTGGGTGTGCAAACATTCTTATGCACAAATTACTTATCATTGCCTTCCTGGGGCCTGATTTATTACTTTACAGTAATAAACTATAGGAAACCAATAAAAACTCTGTTATCTAACATCCTTGAATTTTTCCTATTTAAACTACTAGATATATATTTAAACCAGTTACTACAAAATTAAAATTCTTCTGCATATATTTAAAAAGTAGAACAAATTAGTGTCTTCTAATGTCATCCAGATATTCTTCTATTTACAAATTGAAGGTATTCTCTCTCTCCAAGCTGTAAAAGGCACACCTCTCAATCAATCACTGAAAAATCTTCATAAACATTCATTTTGAGATAATTTCTACTTACTTTCCAATGTTTGCTGAAGTTCATGGATAGTACTAAGAAGAACATGAAACTGCTTCCGTCTCAATTCCAGCTATATTAACAAGAAGAAAAAATTTATTGAAATTGATCTATAAACACACACACACATATACACCATAAAAAAACAAAGGGGAAAAATATATATATATGCAAATACCTTATCTTCAACGCTTTCTTTAATATGTGAAAGATGCTCTAACTCTTTTCCCAGAGCCTCTAATTCTCTGAAAAAAGTAAAACAGTGCTATTTTTTGCTGTTTTGGGAAATAGAACTTACAATTCTAATCAAACATTTAAAGTATTAAATAGTATTTTTAAAATGTAAAAAGAATTAAAATACTCCATTATGTGAGACTTGTAAAGTTTAGAACTTCTTAACTACTAAATGTGCACTATTTTCATTAAAGCTATACTTTTATTTTTCATTTTTTAATTTTATTTATTTAAAAAAAATTGTTTTTTAGTTGTAGTTGGATACAATGCCTTTATTTTACTTATTTATTTTACGTGGCGCTGAGGATCGAACCCAGCGCCTTGCACATGCTAGACGAGCACTGTACTGCTGAGCCACAACCCCAGCCCCCAAAATGTATATTTTTATATAAAGTTTTTAAGTACAGAAAAACTCAGATAATAACGAAACTCAAGAAATGGTACATTTTTATCATACTAACTTCAAGATTTTCCTTCAGTTAAAAAAAACAAAATCAAAAACAAAACCTGCTGCTAATTAACTTGAAATACCCTTTGAACTTCACCTTCCTCCCCACCCCCTTCTCTAGTCCCCTACCTCAGGCCTTCTTTTGTCCTTTATTTTCCATTCACACAGTCATTGCATCATTCCAATCCCTTTTTAATGCATGTATCTGTGTTTCTGATAATATATAGTATTAATAAATAATACTTGGTAGGTGTTTTCTAACTTTTACAAATGGTTATTTTCTATATGTATGTAGAAAATTAGAAATAATTTAAAACTCATTATGTGTCTGTCATTTTCCTGATTTTTTTGGGGGGGATCTGTGTTGTAAAAGTATATGTCTAGCTAGGCCTGGTGGTGTACCTGTAACCCCAGAGACTCAGAAGGCTGAAGCCAGAGAATCACAAGTTCAAAGTCAGTCTCAGTAACTTAGTGAGACCCTGTCTCAAAATTAAAAATAAAAAGTGCTGGGGATGTAGCTCAGTGGTAGAGTGCCCCTGAGTTCAATCCCTAGTACTAAGAGAAAAAAAAAAGTATATATCTAGTTTATTAAGTTTATGCTGTTTAGTATTTTATTACATGAATAGAATATATTCTATTTATCCATTTTCCCATTGAGACACATCACATGCATTTTAGACCTATAGATAGAAAGATTGGAAAAAGAAAAGGATCTAATCAAACAGTGTTAGGATATATAATGTTGAAAATCTTGATTTCTCCTTTTGATACGTTATTTATTTTATAAAAATGGAATGTATAGATGAGTATACTTGAATGTTTATGTAGGTTTATGTAGGTTAGTTCCTTTGCAAGGAAAAGCTCTAAACTTACTTTAATGTCTCATGCCTATCTGGATGATGCTGGATCACTTTTGCCAAAGCATCATATTCTGAAAGACATAAAAATATTTACCAAGTTTTCTTTTAAAAACCTTAAATATCAAAAGAAAACGCATAGTATCACACATGTCTCCTACTCATTTTCCTAGTACATAAAGAAATGAAAACAACGATGGATGGGAGTATTGCCATGCCACTTGATTGAACCACAACGATAACCATCTGTGACATCAAAAGTGTTAAATACAAGGATTTTGGCTCCAGATTCTGTTTTTCCACTAACATGTCCTGTACAGAATATAAGAAGTCAGCATAAGCATTAATGACTTTTAAGTCATTATCAATCAAGTGGACTGAATCTGAAAAGGATCTTACTCTTTGCCCAGAGTGTGTGATGGTGGTGGTAGGGGGTAGAATCAGTGAGAAAAACATATCTTACTGTTAATTTGTTAATTTCCTCACCATTCTAAAGGTAAAAACTTCAGAAACTTTAAAATACTTCAAAATTAAGATGATTGTTGCTGCTTCACTGAGACCTCTAAGATTAAGTTTTATTGCTTATATTAACATTTCCATGAAATGGTAAATAGTGAGGTTCACTTAAAAGTCTCCTATTCAATCAAAATCCTTTGCAATATATTTTTAAATAATGACATTGATATTAATTATTATGTTATTATATTTTGCTGTAAATTGGCCACTGAAACTTCAGCATACATACTTTGAATTGAATACAAAAGCCACCTTTTATAAAGGGGAAATAAGCCAGGCTTAGTGGTGCGTGCGTGCATCTAATTCCAGCAGCTCTGGAGGCTGAGCCAGGAGAATTGCAAGGTTTTTTTTTAGTTGTAGGTGGACACAATACCTTTACTTTATTTATTTATTTTTTGTGGTGCCAAGGATCAAACCCAGTGCACCACACGTTTGAGGCAAGTGCTCTACCACTGAGGACTGCAAGTTTGAGGCCAGAAGAAGAAAAAAAAAGATATGGGGATGTAGCTCAGTGGTAAAGCACCCTGCAGTCAATCCCCAGAACTAAAAGAAAAAAAAAAAAAAAAGAGGTCAGGATAAAACTTTATCTTAATTAGCTCTCTAAAACGTGAAGTTTATTGTTTTGGAACTCAGTATATTACTAAGCATGATTTTTTTAAATTAAAAAAACCTCCATTACAATATAATAGATATTCAGTATAACACAAAACAAAAACAAAGAAAACCTAGATAATAAAACTCACAACCCCCAAATAACTGTTTACATCTTCTATTTTCTTCCAGTTTTTAATATATATTATCATAATTATGATCGTACTTTTTTTTTGGGGGGGGTACCAGGGATTGAACTCAGGGGCACTCGGCCACTGAGTTCGATCCCTGGTACCCCCCCCCCCAAAAATTATTTGAAAGTTTATGAACTATATAAGGGTATACTCTAGTTAAAAAGAAGATTAGAATAAAACTAAACTTTAACTTTTTCTTGTTATATAGTTAGGCAGCCTGAATATATCTGCTTCCTTTATACTTAATGAAAACCAACTGTGTTTAAATTCTCCTCTCTCTCTCATCAAACAAATCGACCCTATAACTAGTGTACTTATATAAATCACTTTTGCTGATTAAACAAAATATTCAGGCAAAATTGTCTGAAGACAGAAAAAAAGTAGTACTAAGAAATATCTGGATAATCAATACATCTCAGCAAAAACTTTTTTTCAGCAGATCATTCCTTTTTTTTCTATTTTCTATTTATGGTTTTAAGAATTAAATGTTTCTCCTAATTCTTTTTTTCTTAAATTTATTTTTTTAGTTTTAGGTGGACACAATATCTTTATTTTATTTCAATGTGGTGCTGAGGATCGAACCCAGTGCCTCACGCAAGAGCCACAGCCCCAGTCCCATCCTGATTCTCTTTGTCAATTAAATCGATTCTAGCTGCTGATTTTACCTCACATTAAAAACTGCATGAAAATATCAGTCAGTAGTAAAGTATTTGCACATGAAATCCCTCAAAACCCTTACCTTGGCGATTTTTTCGTATTCGTTTTGCTTGAAGAATCTGCTTTTTGCACTCAGCAATTTTTTCATGAGCTCCAGCAATACTACATTCTATATAAAAGGGTATTTTTTAAAAGATAGTTAATAACAACACATATAATCTCCATCCATTTTCAATTTTAAAACGTGTTTTAAAATTGAAGTCCTATTGCTAACTAAA